ACACATGCATGGGCAACTGTAAGCATGCCTGCTCAAGCGCAAGTTTCAACCACAGATCGGTGGTTTTTCTTAGCCATAGCCCCCTCTCAAAACACAAGTCAGCTCTCCGAAAGTTCGCTGAGCTGGGTAGACTTGTGTGTGATAGGTTGTTTGGTGGCTGATTTTCTTTGGCATCTACTGCGTCAACTACTTGCATGTGTGGATTTGCTCTTGCTTCCTTATCAAGTCTGGCGTGGGCCAAGAGCTGGGAAGCAAATGCAAGAGAACAAGGAAGCAGAAAAACCCTCAAGCAGATTTCTGCGCAGGACGTGTTGAAAAACCCAGCAAGACAGTGCAACAGGCTGCACAAAGCTTTGGCTGAGCTCACGAGTTGGCTTGAACCCCCACAACCAGCTGGGCAAACTTAGGCACCCTCCCAACCGAAAATCGTCGTACTAACATGGCTTGAAGCAAGAAAACATCGCACAACTTGCTACAAGCTTCCATTTGGCTAAGAATATTGTTTAAGTCCCCCTGTTGGGTTTTAAAGGGAAAATCTATCACCACCGGAATTCCGAAATTCCTTTTTTCCAGGCGACGAAGCAAACGGAGGTAAAGGATTCCCAAGACGTGCCTCGGGCTCTCCTTCGCTCCGAGAGCCTCGAGGCTTGGGGCACCACCTGGATGTCTCTGGCACCATCAGCAACCAGAGCTACAAGGCCTCCCTCGTAGCACGGGCTGGCGACCCAAACACGGAAGACGGATCTGTTTTTTTCGTGTTTTCTAAGCGGTCGCTACAAGGCCTTTTTCCAGGCAAATGGATTTGAGAGCCACTTTTTGGGGCTTGGACCATAGTGGCAAACCAAAAGTTCGGATTTGTTTGATTGAAGTGAGGAAGGCCTCCCTTCCGCGCGTCGCGCGGAAGTTGCGACGTCGCGACCATGCAAAACCGCAAAACTAGATCCATGAGAGCGGCGGTTGGGGCTGAGGAAAGTCTCCATGCGTTGCTCGCCCCAAGCGCAGATTTGTTGGTTTCCCCTGTGGTGTTCCTTCCCGGACTTGTGCCAGGCTAGGTGCAAACCCATGATTTCAGGAATTCCGTGTGCTCCATTTTCTGGGGAAGACTCGTCCCCAAACTTGCTTGGGGGTCGGGAGACGGAGGTGTTGGGTTGGTGGTTTAATTTGGGTTTGTCTCAAAATACGCACCCTTGGAAAAATGCGGTTCTCCTGTTGCTCCCCTTAAAGGCCACTCTGCGGGCGATCCTTATGCTGGATGGTGGCTTCCCTGTGTTTCATCGTTTCAAGGGCTAGCAACCAGGATGTAAGGGTTTCTCCATTTTGAACAACCCAGGCAATAGAGTAGCAGGGACGGATGTGGTAATAGTGGTGCCATTTTGTGCGACCATGATCATAGATGTATGATCCGTGCAAATAAGACCAGCCGCCGTTTGTAGGATTCCGAGATGCAGTTCGATCTCGCGAGCGATGCCAGCGATTCGCCAACGCAGGGCAGCTTCATCAAGGTGAGCCAGGCCTCGGTGAAGACCCAGATCTCCCAAGCCAAGAGGATCGACGGTAGGGAGGGAGGGTGGCTGGGTTGCTTTGGCGCATGTGGCCTGGATGTTAGGACTTTATTTTTTTGCCAACTAGTGGGTTTTCCATTGAACCACCAAAAGTTAAGCTTTTAGCAGGGGAGCAGAAAGCAACCGAGGTTTGGGGAGGGAGGGAAGGTGGCTGCTCGGCGGCGGGTCTAATTCAAAGTGACGGAAGAAAAGTAATAGCAGCATCTTTTGGGACATAGCCAAAGAAACCATGTTTGTTTCAGGACTCTCGTTTGGGGCCGTTTTAAGATGCGGGGCGTAGGTCGGTTGACAACTGATTTGAGAACGGACCTCGGAAGTCGGCTGCTTCAACCGCTTTCGTGATGCCCCTTCTACAAGGAATCGGAGTTTGGAAAGCCTTCCATTAGTGGGTACAATCCCCACAACCCTTCCTCAGTTCAAAGCCGACCTTTGACCTTTTGGTTTTCCCTTTTTGCTCCATTTTTAGTAGAGGTGCCAAAATGTGAACCTTTTGGTTCTGGGTCCTTTGGGCAAGTGAGCTGCATTGATCCGTGGCGCGCTTTGAAACGGCGATCCCAACAAGGCAAGAACACGCCGGCAAGCAACGAAGGAGTGTCCCCAAGGCCGCCGATCCCATGTCCAAGGAATGCCAAGGTAGGCGAAGGGGAACAAACCATGTCAGCGACAATGCTTCAATGAGTTTCTTACCCCAAAGCTCTCTACTGTGAAGCAATGTGAGCTGACTCACATCGCAGGATATTAAATATTGCAGGAACAAACGACGGACTTCATGAAGCAAAGCTGGTTGTCTCCTGCACGCACGGACTGAAAGAATTGGAGAATCCCCAGGATAGCTTGAGACTACTTCAAGTTTCCTCCGCAAACGGGAGTTCTCTTTCAGAAGTCCCAAGTGGCAAACTCGCCCAAGGATGTGTATCAATGGGGCCGGTTGCTTGAAGTCGGCCAAGCCATGTTAGAGATCCGGACGGTTGCCTCGGAATTTGCTTAAGTTGCCTACCCTTGTGCCAGAGATGTTTCGCAGCCCCAATTGTTCCGCAATGCCCACACAAACTCACATCACTAGCTCCTTTCCAGCCCCTTTTGTTTCGGCTCCCTACTGAAAACTTGGTCCCCCAGTAGTGCCCTTCTACCCTTTTTTTGGGGAGGATTCTCCTGCTAAAATAGACTACAGAAAAAAGGGTACCCTTATTCTATCCTCTCTGCTGGAGGACCTAGTTAGGCTCCACTAAACAGGTTGACCTGAAGGAAGATTCCCTTTTTCCATCGACAGGGTTGGAATTGGCCTCCTTCCGCCAGAAAAACGGGTCACTTACAACGAGGCGTTTGTCGACCGAATCGGCAGCTAGGGCGTTGGACAAGCTCGTGAACATCATGAAGCAGAAGACCAGCGTTCGAACTCGGCGCTGACACAGATTCGCGCGGACCGAAGCCGTTTGAAAAAAAAAGGTGAGTGCATTGAACAGGATCCGTGGCCGGGCCCGCCTTGGACCCAACTCAAGGAAGTGACCCCAGTGACAATGGCCACGCAACTGGCAGCCTTCGTACTGGTTGGAGGGTGCCATATCCTTTTTTGGGACTTGTATCCTGGATTGGGCTGCCCGGCAACGCAAGTGAGCGAGCAAGCGCTAAACTCCACAGTTAACAGCTTTGCTCATTGTAATCCAGTTTAGGCCACCCACCCTAAACGCACAGAAAGCCTCCCCTTGACTAGCTTTTATTATTTTTTATTATTTTTTAAGAGATGGAATTTTGGTTTCCCCCCCCTTTAGATTCAAGATTGCAGATTGCACTATTCATCATGCTCCTGAAGCGGTTTGCCACTCATTGCTCTGTTATATGACTCTTTATGACATGTTGTGACATGATATGACGCTTTATGACATTATATGACGTCATATGACGCCGTATAATAGTCTGTGTGTGTTTGTGTGTTCACGAATACTGTCCCAATATAGCATGTGCTATAAGGCTTGAAAACCGCAATCGATTCTCCAATTTCGTACGATAAAAATAAAAAAATAAAAAACACACGATCGAATTGCGCGCTCGCGGCACAGCAACTCGCGCTGGATTTTAACGCTGGCAACGCAATGCCAAAATATTGTTTTTCAGCTCGCGCGATTGATTTGTTGTACCATGTTTGTTTGCGATTGATTTTAGGCCCCACGATGGATTTGTTTCAGCATCGGATGCTTTGGGCTACCCTAAACCCATCCTGAGCCACCCTAAACGATGTTCAGCACAAGCGCTGTCCAGATCCACGACAAAGTTACCCTAAACACATACCCCAAAACCATCCCAACCACTAACATAAACCCTTCCTGAACCGACCTAAGCACATCTTAAACCCGCTCTAAAACAACCAGCAAAGCTAACCCCCCAGCTCAACATAGCGGAAAGTAATCCGGAACGCGGACCCGCTCAAGGGCGGATTTCTCCATGTCCAGCTGCGATTTTTATCCATGGCTTTCTGGACCCCTGGCTTTGGTCGCTTCATGCCACGACTGCAAAAAGGCAGGCACCGCCTTTGTTACGTGGAGGACAGGCGGCCCAAAACTTCACGCAGTCACCGACCGGCGATCATCTTGCGCGATCTCAGCGGTTGCCACCGGCCCTGCACTTTAGAAACGAGGAGCCAGAGCTGCGAAAGTAAGCATCGCGTACTTTCGCACGCTCAAAAAAGTGGTGCCAAAATGGCACCTTGATAAATGGATCCAAAGACTAAAACCTGCGTAACGGTAGCTCTTTAATTCTGAGCCATACCCATGTGGGATGCACCGCATTCGTACTAGATTTTGGTCCCAGCCGGAGCTTCAGCGCATCGCGTACTTGTGTGTTCGCGCCAGCGAATCGCTGGCTTCAAAGAGTCGCGCAAACCACGAAACAAACTTCCGCGCTTTGCCGTTAAAAGCTCGGCTCAGGTTGAATCCAGGAATTGCCGTCCAAGACGGGGGCTCACCTATAAGTGAGAGGGAAGGAGCCGGTGAATCCAAGCCTCGTCCTGGAGTCCTGGTGCTGGTCTGCTAGTTCCCAAGTGGGGTTCCCTTTGGCTTCCTGGGATACCCTTTGTTGAGGGCTGGCATACCCTAATTTCACTTCAGGTGCCAAAACCCACCGGCTCTCCTGAAACAACAAGAAGTGTCCCTCAAAAAAGCGGTGTTCCCCGAAATCCGAACAAGGGAGTGGGGTTCCCCCACTCCAAAAACAAACATACTTGCGCTTGCATGTCCGGCTCCGCAGCGAGAAAGCCAGCCGGGAAGTCACTCATGCAACCCAATGGGTTTACCCCAAGGGTGCCACTGATGCTGCACATGTGCAAGCTGGAAGCTATTTGTTGGCGTTCCGTCCATGTTGCCCCCTAAATCACGCCAAACAAACACTCACAGCTCAAAAGTTGTTTAAGACCCTTGAGGAATTGTTTTGTTCCCAAAATCACCCCCAAAAAAAGATCCCCTCAGAATCCCGCGCTGGCGGTGCACCTGCACCAGCTCATGGAACCGATGGGGCCGACCAGGTCGGCCCAACTGGGGGAGCCGACACCACCCTTCAAAGGGCGAACCCCCGAATTCGTGGTTTCCATCAAGGTTCTAGCCAGAAACAATGATAGAGAAAGATGATGATGGACAATAGTATGACAGAAATAAGGCCTTGTTTCATAATTGTGTTTATCTTCCATCCATGTCTGCTTTCATTTTTTGAGTGGAAGGAAGAAGTGAACTTCTAGCTCTCATTCAGAAAGAGTTGGGCCGTGAAGATGTTTTGACGGAGCCCTAGGCTTCTAGCTCTCATTTTCCTCTTCATTCAGAAATCCAACGACCAGAAAGTATAGGGAGCGAGAGAAGAGGAGTGAGAAAGCCTTTGAAGATAATCAAGCCTCCGCATTCATGTCAACAATGCGGATCTGGAAATGGCATGATGAAGGTAGGAAGTGAACAAAAGCTTACTAATAGTATCGTTGTTCATCTACTCCTGTGTTGTCTATTCCTTTCAGTTCATGTCCATCTTGTTTTGCCTTTGGATGGTCTCTCCGTCAGAGGATCCGTGGGATCTTGACAGAACGGAAGGGATAGACACCTCCACCTGCAAGTTCTCCTGCGGGTACATTGAACATGTGGCCTACATATGTGCAAAAGTGACCAATCTGTTTGTTCCCTTTTGGGTCCATTAAAAATGATACCTGCACAGACGCATAAACATGACCAATCCCTTTTGCTCTGCCTGTGGGCACGTTAAAACTTACGGGCTATGTGTCACCCAGCAGGGCAGAAATGGGAAGGTGTCACTGCTGGAGGATCCCCATAATGAATGGCTTTGGTTTTCCTTCTGGATTGCCCTTAAACCGACACCGCTTGGGGCCACACACACCTAGACCAAAACAAAGCACAAAGGGATCCTGGAACACCCAAGCTGTTTCAACTGAAAAGTTAAAGTCCAAAGAACAAAATTGCCATAACCTCCATTTGCACCCTGGAAAAAACAAGAGTAAAAATACAAAGGTTGGGGAGCTCAAGTTTGAAGAGCGGGCCTCTTTCGACCTGCCATTGTCATTGATTCGACGCCAACCTGCACCTTGCCGAGGTAGTTAAGACGCCAGCCACCAAGGAGAAACACCCAAAGAGAGAGCGGCCCACACACACACACACACTCACACCATACACCACACCCCTCCCACACCCCCACCCACGCTTGCACACACCCACCCCGTTACACACAAAGGCACGCACGCGCGCACGCACGCACGCACCCACACACACACACAACACAAACACACACACACACACACACACACACACACACACACACACACACACACACACACACACACACACACACACACACACACACACACACACACACACACACACACACACACACACACACACACACACACACACACACACACACACACACAACACACACGCAAACACAAACGCAAACGCAAACGCAAACGCAAACGCAAACGCAAACGCAAACGCAAACGCAAACGCAAACGCAAACGCAAACGCAAACGCAAACGCAAACGCAAAACGCAAACGCAAACGCAAACGCAAACGCAAACGCAAACGCAAACGCAAACGCAAACGCAAACGCAAACGCAAACGCAAACGCAAACGCAAACGCAAACGCAAACGCAAACGCAAGCGCAAGCGCAAGCGCAAGCGCAAGCGCAAGCGCAAGCGCAAGCGCAAGCGCAAGCGCAAGCGCAAACGCAAACGCAAACAAACACAAACACAAACACAAACACAAACACAAACACAAACACAAACACACACACACACAGACACAGAAACGCGCAAACGCGCAAAGCGCACAAATACACATGTCACAAAGGGGGCGAAGTTGGTGTGAACTGGCCTTTGATGCCCTACCAAGGGGCACCACGAGGTTTGAGGGTGTCTCTAAAAGCTAAGCTAGCGAGGGATCCAGCACCATGCTTCCGGAGGCATCAACAGCCCACCCTGCAAGAGGGGTGTTCTTTGCTTTGTCAATGGCCGAAGGAAATGAGATTCCAAGCATATTCTCTTTAGCCCGCTTCCATCAAACATGGGGCCCAAAATGTGGTTCCAAGCAACAGTTAACTAATGTGAAAGCTAGATTTGCCTCTTCCAGCTTTCCAAACAGTCAAGGTTGTTCCAGGCTGTTTTCCAGGTTGTTGCACATTTGGCCTTGTAAAAAGACACAAGAACAGTTCGAGTTTCTTTGCTGGTTTTCTGCAAGGCGGAAAATCGGGAGACACTAACCACAGCGGTTTTTCCTGTGACCTCCCTTTAAAACTATCCAAACAAAATCCTCAGAAAGGCTACCACACTTTTACGGATGGAGCCTTGCGCGCTTTGCCAGGTTCAAGACCAGCTCCATAGCGCTTGAGGAGCCGCGGGTTCCTCTTCAGTTGGCGTGCTTGTAGGTTTTTAGGTTTGGTTCTGTTTCTGTTTAGTAGGGGGGCTGCAAGAAAGACAGCCTTTCTTTTGCTGCCAAGGGTTGTGAATTCCTGATCTCTCCTTTGGTTGGGTTTAAACCTGGTGGTTTCCTCTTTCGATTTGTCCACCACGAAGATTTAGAGGGGTTCCCAAAATGATCTTGAGGCCAGTTTACCTTTGAAATCATATTTGAGGGTATTCTTGGGGATGTCAATTTAGTGACCATAAGTTTACCTCTTAAGCGAGCAAAAAGGGTTCCCTCAGAAAACACATTTACATGCACGTTTCGCCTCAGCTTGAGAGTGCATCTATTTGCAGGATGTCAGGCTCATCGTTCCAGTCGCCCCGCCAGATTGCGCTGGTAGCTCCTTGGAGTCGAGGCCTTTCCTGTGGTTTGTCCCCATGTTCAGCGGTCACCCTTTTGCCTCCCCCCAATTCTTGAATCTTGCTGCGGTTTGCCAGCGGCAATCATGTTGGTGTTGTCTTTATAAGGTTGGCTTTCCCTTCAAGTACAAGCTGGTCTCTCGTTTTGCTGTTTTCCTTCAGGGGTTTGTGTGGTTGTTTGTGTTTCTATGTGGACCTTCTCCTTTCTTGGGCTGGTCTAAAGGGACACCAAGAGGAAACCAAGCCCGTTTGGGGGTTCCCTTTGTCACATAGCCCTTGGGAGCGACTTGGCAGCCATCGCGATGTTTTAAGGCTGGCCCGTGACGGTCTTGAACGAATCGGATTGCCCGGATGCTGTCGGCCATGCAGCCTGGCGTCCAACATGTGGAGTGCTGCTAGTTCCTTCGGCCGCGAATCCTTTCGTGGGTTTCCTTTTAGCATCATCCAATGAGGGCAACCTCAATGTGTTGACACGAATATGTTTGGCTTCCACCTACTTTCAATCAGTCTTGCGACTCGTTAATCAGTCATGGTATGGGAACAGGTTCTCCTTTCGTTTCTAGGTTGGGCAAGTAAGTAATCATGTACCATTGTTCAGGTCAACCGAGACAGCCATCAGAAAACACGCTTGAGTCTGTTCAAGTCAGAGAGCCTGACCTAGCTCGTTCAGGTACACTGCCAAGCTCAGGGCAATTTCCGGGGGGGGGCTTCCTGAGGTATATTTGTGCGGTACCATTGAGGACGTGGCGGCCTTAGCAGGGACTTGGAAGGCCCTCGGCTCAGAGACAGATCCTTCGCATGCTAGTTGAACAGACATCTGTGATCAATGACTCTCTTTTTTTTTCGGCCCAGGATCTGGTCCGGGATAGCGCATCCTTTGGTTCCACTTTTGCCATGGAAACGCTGTCAAGACACACCAGGTTCAGCGGCAAGCACAGCGCTTTCCAGATGCGCTGGGCTGCTTTTCGGACACCAGAGTGGAGGGCGTGCCAAGCTGCGAGGCCAATCTGCGTTTCGCCGAGCGTGTTGAATCCGGGGACGCGACGGGGTTGAAAGGAAACCAGAACTTGCTGCCATTTGGAGCCACAAGATTATTTGCAATTATCAAAATCAGTGGCTGGTGGTATGTTCTTTGTTTCATAGAAATTGTGGCCTCAGATAGGCTGAATTGTAAACCCAACAGTGATTGGGTCCCCTTGAAAATGGCTTACCCAAAGTGGCACGTTCGGTCGGCCCTTTGCGAGATCTTTTGAATTTGTGAGTTTGGTCCCCTGTTTTGAAGAGGATCAGGGAAGTAATTCAGGATCCCTTCGAGGATACATTTGGGCCAGTCAACACATCACCTGCAGCGGATTTAGAGGTTGTATAGGTGGATCTTGAATGTATCCTTTCAGGCACCCTTTAAAACGGACAAATTTCAGCCAGGACATCCATGCATGTCCCTTTGTTGAGCATGCGTCAAAGTGCTATGGTGTTGCTTGAGTCCGTCTCGGCAAAAACAGCTGACTTTCAGCGCATTCATCTCTGGCAATCGAATCGATAGCCCTTCAAACATTGATTGAAGCGCTCTTTGGTACGACCTTGGCTGTTTGTACATTGTTCACATTTGGATCGTTTCCAAGAGCCTGCAAAGGATTGTTGCTGGGGGCAGTTTCACTATGACTCAAAAGGAAATGCTCCGCGAGACAATGCCGAGGATGTGTAGTCTTCCATTACCCAGTGTTTTGTAGTGTTTTTTTTTGGGGGGGAGGGTACCCGTGTTGAGGTGGTTTCTAAAGGGAAGCCACAAGTTGAAACCCAGCATTTGGGGCCCAAACCACCCATATGTGTGAAAATTCCTTGAACAGGGCCTGCAAGCCCTGGTGTACTCAGTCTTTCCAGGGTTGTGGGCGGGGGATCTAGGAACTTTCCCCACTTCTGTGATACAAAGGAATCCCCTCTTTTTTTTTGGGGGAGGGGGGGCTAGCGTTTGGGAGGCCCTTTTGGTTGTATCACAGATTCCTGGATTCCATTTCAACCAAAGGCTCTTTCCTCTCAAAGCCATGATGCCCACTAGGTTCCCCAGTAGTGCCCTTTTTCCCTACTAATATGGACTACAGCAAAAAGGGTACCCTTATTCGAACCTCTCTACTGGAGGACCTAGCCCTATTCCATTTCAGCTTTAGTTGCGTTTGCCTCAATCTTTAAAACAAGCATGTGACTACTAGGATCAACCACAGCCCAGGTTCTTTCCTCTCAAAGCCATGATCCGCAAGAGTTCGGGGCAGCTGTCCACCGCGACATGCGGCCAGGTTTTGCCCCAACTGCGGCATGGCTTCAATGCGCACAGTTGGGAGGCACTGCTGAGGGCTACGTGCTCCAGGCCCGGCAAGGACTTTCTTTGGTGCATTTTGCCTGCGATGTTAGGACTTTAACTGTTTGCCAACTAATGGGAGCAAAAAGCAACCGAGTTTTACAAGGTGTGCCAACGAAACAGGAGTTACAGGTTTATCCGGGGGCTCCACCATCCTGGGCAAAATGTGTTTGGAAAAAAACAAATCCGGCTCTTGAATTGGCCTTGACAGGTTCAACCAGCTTTGGGACCAGTTTGTTTTCCAAGGGCGCATATGCTCTTTTCAAGAAGCCATTGGCCGGGGGGGGGGGGGGGTTGGGGGGGATGTTGGAATTGGGTGAACTCTGTTTTTTCTGATGCGTGATATGGATTCTCGCTCAGGCATGTAGCGACGATTCAAGAGAAGATCCTCAGGCGCGTCGGGTGTCCTGCGCCTTTGCTGGAGCTTTTTCAAACTTTACCTCTTAAAAACACAACTTTTCAACTTTCTGGGTAACATGGGCTATATGTCTGTAAAAGATTAGCTTGCCCCAGGGCTTGGAGTTTTAAGGGGGAAGCAAAAGTGTGGATCCCTTTCTGGACGGCTTCAAACGGAAGCGCGACAAGGACACGGCCCGATGTCAGACCCTTTCACAAACTGACCCAAATGAGCGCGTTGGGCCCATCTCGGCCTTTCAGGAAAGGCCTTTTGCTTCTTGTCGTCAGCCGGACCCTTGCCCAAGCAAACTTTGACCATGAAAGAGTCTCCGTTTCGGTGTCCTTTTAACGTGGACCAGGGTGTGGGTTATAGACGCCTCGGCCCCCAACCTTGCGCAAGCCCCTACAGGCATAGCCAACTGGTTCCATGTTTGGAGAAACACTCCCCACGGGGCCAGCGCGTAACACCCAGAGCCTGAAGAACTGGAATGGAGTTGCGGGTACTTTCACGACAACATGACCAGAGAGAAACATGCGTGTAACAATAGAAAGGGCTACCGTGTGCCGCCGTCCCCACAATTTGTATCGGAACCGTTTCCTGCAGCGCTGACATGGCGCCGCGCACACTTCAAAGGCTGCTTTTGCACAAACTTTGGCACACTCATGATGTCCTTGGCATGCTTGCCAACTTGCTTATGCTTCCTTTCCATTGCAAAGCACGGCATTGCGAGCTTATGGCTTTTGAAAGATTGTGCTAAATGCAGGAGCCAATGGTGTGTATTATTAGTATTATTTTATATGTTAAACAAAAGAAAGCATGCGTAATCTCCAGCCTGCAGCACACCATGCACTCAAAGCACATTTCCACTGCTTGGTGAAGATGCTCAGGTGTCACATGGCCATGCCAGGTGCAGCAGTTCTATCAAGTGGTTCAAAGCAAGAAAGCCATCACATTGCTCTGTGCATGCACACTGTACTCCAATAATGTGCTAAGATGGGGCAAGCTGGCTGTGCTGTCAAGTTTGCCAGACCTTTTCTGCTTTTCTACCCGTTTTGCTTCAAACAAGTTGGACACCTTCATAGCCTTGATGTAGCCATGAAGGCTTTGCCAACAATCTAAGAACTCCAATAGCAAAAGGCAAGCTATGGACATGCAGCCATTGGACGCAAGGGCATGCATCCAATCATGGACAAATCGGTCACGTGGCCTCAGGTAAGGCTTCAGCTGTTCACATGCCAAAAGAGCATTCTGCAAGTAAGTGATTCCTGTCGCTTGTTCCCATGTTTTCAACTTGCCAGTGCAATCAGTATACCTTTGGGCCATCCTGGCCCAGCTGGCGTGCACTTTGCTGGTCAGCTCAAGGTCAGCATGCTTCAAACCTTTGGACACTTCCCGTATGTGCTCATTGTCGTTATTTTTTCGGTGCTCATCTTGGGTCTCTGCTGTGGCTCTTGGCTTAGAGGTTTGGAGTATGTCTTTGCAAAGCAAAAGCGAGATCCTGAGTCTCCTTTGACTGCCCAGATATATTTCTGGGCACCGCCGCCTGGGACAAAAAGCCCAACCCAAGCTTGATCTTATGCCTGCTACCAAGGAAGACCTTAAGCCACACAGTGTCATCCATGAGTGTTCACTTTGCAAGTGATGATTGAATGGTTTGATGGAGCAATACACAACCCATGATGTTCTTGGCACTGTTGCACTCAATGGGTTTCCAGGCACCAGCTCGTCACACTAGCAAACTAGGCTTGCTGCTTGTCCATCCGCACATGTTATTCACAAGATGGTAAAAGCTTCCTCCTTGCTTGTACACCATGGAAAAATGAGAGCAACTTAACAAAGGGCAGCGGCAAGGTTTTGCCATTGCATTGCAGGTCTTGCATTTGCATCAATGGTCCATAGCCATTGCTGGAAACAATCAATTGCGTATCTGCTTCCCGCATGTTCTTGGCAGCGCCAGCTGTTTTTTCTGCAAGAGTACTTATATAGTTGCACACCCCCCCTTTGGGGAATTACAATCTTCCTACGCGGGTCGCCCGCAAAAAAAACCACTAGTTGTAAAGGAATCTTCTTTGGGAGATCGCCAAAACCACTGGTTGCAGAGGAAACTCCTTCGGACACCTCCCCAGTCTCGGGTTGCTTTCGGACACGGGCCCAATTGCCGGGCTTCAAGCGTTGCATCCGGCCTCCAGGCATGCGCGCAGAAGGCCTGACAAGGTGGCGCTCGTTTTTGAGGACTGTTGGTCAATCCACTCCAGGGAGTTGTCAGAGAGCCGGACTTAACGAGTTTTTTTTCTTCAGTGGATCATTTGCTTAGAAGACAAGAATGTGTCCAAATTTGTCAGGCCACGATTGCAAAAAATGAATGTTTGGCTGTCCTTTCTGGCTTCTTGGGTCCATCTCAAAAGGGGAACCCCAAAAGGGCTTCTTTCGGTTTCCGTTTCAAGCAACACAAAAGATTGTTCCCCAAAAGACTCTGTGATAGTTCTGAACATCACCTTCGTCGCCAAATGGGACAGGACAGACACTGGACGTATCAGCAGCTGTGCTCGGCAGCTTGCAGCCTTCGGGATTGCCTGGTGGACGCGGGTTTGCGGCCTGAGAAAGGACGGGCCAGCTTCAAGCTTCAATGTTTGGGACCGTCTTACAGATATTTGCGCTTCGCTACAGTGATGAACAACCAAAAATTTAGCTCAAGTGGGGTGAACACTGGCCCAGTCCATGGCTGTTTTTTGTTCACCTTCGGCTTTTTGGCGGAAATCTTCAGGTTCCACCAACAAACTAAACTGTGTGCGCAGGGGCAAGAGCCGCCAAGTATGGTTCTACCTATAGGGAATCAACCAAAGACACCCCAACCCAAGAAAGTGTCTTTAGAGCCTCGTAGCAGCTCTTGTAATTTGAAGAACGATCATGCTGGGGGAACGCCCCAACTGGTTGGTTTCCTTTGGTTGTCCTTCAAACACCCCAAAGAAGGGTACCCAAGACAACGCGCCGTACCTACATTCTTTTCAGGGATCCTTCGTTTCAGAAAGCAGACAACAGTTCTGGGTGTTGTGGAGCTGGAATATATACAACAAGCACGTTCAGTGTCCAGCAAACGAATCCACAAGAATTGAATCTCTGTTTTTGGTTTTCAAAGTTCGCCCTGGTCTCACCCCCGGCAACACACTCAAGTTTGCCAGTGTGTTCAGGCAAGCCGCCATAGCAGGTACCTAATCACAATATATATATATATATATTATATATATATATTATATATATATATATATTTGGTTTTCTTGAGTTTCGCTGTACCTTTCGCTGAATTACTGTGATATAGCGGTGAATCTCTGGGTAACATTGGCAAGTAGAGCGTTTGCCACACTCCGCCTTCAGCCAATGAGAACAAGCCCTTAAGAAAGGTGTGGCTTCCCCCCGTAACCGGCTGACCCCATCGACAAAGTTACAGAGATTAGTGAGGACACCTGATTCGGGTATATGGAGCCCCATTCGTATATTTTGAGGAGCTCGAAGGACCGAAGGTCTGCATGTGGAGCCTTGGAACACTTGGGCTCTGTGCGATGGTTGAAATTGTCTTGAAGGGGGGTTTGGGAAGGGTGGATTCCCGAAACCGCAAGTTCGATGGCAAGGGGTTCCCAGAAGTGTCCCTTGGCCCTTTCTTTAGCTCGGGTTCCCGGGCTCCTTCGATAAGAAGCAAACAGCTTGAGGAGTTTTGGGCCCACCGCCCGCTCCCCCCCCCCAAAACCAAAACACAAGAAAAGAAACATGTTCTTGGCCGCAGCTTGAGAAATAGAAGAGCCTCTGGTGCTTGTCCTCATTGCCGGCCTGAAACGTTGGGAGGAGCTATAGGCGTGAGGATGGACGCCTCGGACTACTCCGCGATTTGCCATTTGGCCGTGCTGGCCGGTGGCTTCGCAATTCACATCCTCGCTGCCTGGCCAAAAACCAAACGAGGGTATCCTATTGCTCGAACCGACAAGGCCCCCGATCGGATATATAGTTCAAAGGGGTGTTTTATGTTAAGGAGTGCTTCCTCCTTAAGAGTAGGACCAGTTGCACCTTTCCAGAGGGTTTTATCTAACAGGGTTCTTTTGCTGAGTGTGGCTCAAAAATTAAACACGAGGGGCGAACCGCAGGTTTTGGTCCATGTTTCCACTTACCTGGGCAAGCCATTTTGGTACCGTTTTTTTTGAGCCACAGCCTGCTCTAACAGATCAGACCCCTATCGGATCATTTAAAGGGGCGCTTTATGTTAAGGATTGCTTACCCCTATTTAAGAGTAGGGACCAGTTGCACCTTGCCAATTGCAGAGAAGGAAGCAAACAGGGCACTGTACTGGCACCAGGGTCGTTGGAATGCGGTTCAGATGTCAGAGAATTTCGAGATCAGTATCCTTGTTCCTTTCGCAATGATCAGGGTATCCTTGGGGGTCAGCTTTATGTTCATTTTCCCAACCCGCCGATCGCTGTCCGACCTCTGTTTTTACCTTGCTGCTGGTCGAAATGGGTTGAAACAAAAAAACAGGTCCCCGTTAGCACCCCTCGCAAGAGATGTGCAGCCTCCTGACTTGAGGTATACTTAAGTTATTGCAGCATGCCAAGCCAAAGTTTGTTTGGTCATTCCCATGGGATGTTGCCAGTGCTTGGTTTTCGGCTGAGCTTTTTTCCGCAACCGTTGGTCTCTGCCCAGAATTGGCTGCGGAGTGTGGCTCTGGGAAACTGTTCCAGAAGGGTTTTGGGGAGCGCTGGATAATGCTTGTCAAATACACGGAGCGGTTTTGGGGCTTCGAGCACATGAGAAGCTACTTAGAGAAGCGGACTTCATTTACGTAGAGATTGAGGGTGTTGCAGCTATCGAAAAGCCATAGCCCTTTAGGTTGCTGGGTCTCATAAACAACCCATGTGCCTTCTCGTTAAGGGCCCGTCCCTTAGTTTGCTTGGCCCGGATTGCCACTATTCTGATGAGGAGGAACACATAGCCGTACAAGCCGAGACACATCAGGCCCAAGTCATGGCAAACCATTGCAGAGTCAGACAGTTTGCCCCCGAGCCGATGCCAAAGCGATCGCCAACTCTTTGGCCGTGCCGATTCCACCTCCAGTTTCCCTGCTGCCACAATGATGTACATCTTATGTTAAGACCCAATTAAGACCCATTTGTTATCCGCTTTCCCTGCTTCCCAGTCTTATTCCTCCGTTTTCCCTGCTTCGTGTACTTCACTTGTGCTAAAAAATGTGGCTTGCAAGCCACAGCCGCCAAAGTGCGCCACGCTTGTGGGACTTTTGAGCTGCCAAGACACTGCAGACCGATGCAGGGTATACTGTGGCGGGTGCATTTGGGTTTCTCTCGAAAACAACATCTCCATGGGTTTCTTCAACGAAAACACAAGCACTTCCAAAAAGACAAACCAAAGGCATTTGCCAAAGAGTGCAAACCAAGCAGTATAGTAGAAACCCAAGAAGTACAAGAGCCAACCAAGAAGTACAGCCGTTGGGTGCTTCTGAAAGTAGGAATTGCTGCAAAAAGTTCCTGGCTCCCTTTTGTTTGTTCGTCTAAACGCCACACAACGGAGTCCGAATCCATTTGTGAGAAACTCCCGAATGGACCACATGGAAGCGTAGTTGTGTGAACGTTTAGGGGGGCCCTGCTTGGGTCGTAGGTGGGCCCCAGGTTATTCTCTAAAATTAAAGTTGGCGCAATTCCAGCTCACTTTGGCGTAGTCATTACCCCGAACCAAGGGAACTTGTGCCATCTACTTTCATTCTGGTGCGCCCTCCACTGTTGGAAAGATGTATTTTTTACCTTGTGGTCCGTGCGCGTCCTTTGTGTTTTTGCCGGCTGTTTAACACTAAGAGATTTACTGTGCCACAACAACTGGGTGTGTCGTTTCTTGAGGCTCCCCTCCTTTTTTAGGGCTCCCCATCTTTTTGTCGTGTTTTGAGGCTCCCCCTTCTTTTTGGGGTGGCAAAGGGAAACCTAAAGGAAAAGCCGAAGCCGCCTGGGTGGGTCGGCTGCGCTGTTTCGCTCGGATGAGGACCGTGGAGGCCACGGCAGGGTCTCCACTTGCGCGACCCAGGCGCTGATTACCATGCGCGGCCACTTGGCGCTTCTAGCAGAAGTTTCGCCATTCTCAACACTTAGGGAGTTTGGGGGTGGCCATTCTCAAAAGATCGAGTTGTCCCAAAGCTTCCGCATTCTCAACCCAGGGATCCGGCCATCAGAACAACCTGGGGTCTTTTTTTCGGCTGAATTTCAATAAAGGAAGGATGGTGGGAAAGAATGGGAAGAATGGGGAAAGCAACCCAGGGATCCGGACTTGTTTAAAAGGAAACCATAGTCCAGGCATGTTTTTTTAGCCCGATTTTGGGTAAAAGAAGGATAGTTGGCAAGAATGGGCAAACCCTTGAAATCTGGGAATGAACCGTTTGGGAGTCTCTTTAAAGGAAAGCACCAGTTGGATGGTTTACAAGGCTCATGCCCTCATTCCCTGCACGACGTGGACATACTATCGACTAAACGATGAAGCAGATTTCAGCATGGTTTATTTGATCTACCCCAGAGTTGGGCCAAGAAAGCAGTGGAGTGGCAACACACCATGCAATACACGCCACCCAACGGCGCCCAACACACACACACACAACACCACAGTACACCGTACACCCATAATATATATATATATATATATAGGTATATATATATATATATATGTATGTACACATACATATTCATATTACATAAATGCACTCATGCACGCACGCGCTCACGCATGCAAGCAATCACGGGCGCACCCGCCCTCGCACACACAACCGCCCGCCCGCCCGCACGCGCGCGGCCGCCCACGACACACCACCGCACCCGAAACTGACGCGCGGACTTGTAGTTTTTGCTTCCAAGTGGCCGGATGGTCATTGGCGAAAGAGACTTAACATCAACAAGCGACAGAGGCAAACACAACAACGGGTGCCAAAGGGGAGCCGAAATTGACAGGTCATTTCATGGTGCTCGAGCCGACACTAAAGCAAACAGTGCGCAAGCAATCTGGTTCTAGCCCCCTGCGACTGCACATGCACTACCGAGTGAATTCAAATCGGAAGCTCTTAGGCACAGAGGGTCCCACACCCACACACAGACACAAAGCACACACGGCACACACAGACACGGACACAGACACAGACCCAGGCGTGCAAACACGCAGACACGCAGACACAGAGAGAGAGAGGGAACGCACGGAACACACGCAATGCACGACGCAGACGCGCAATGTCACCCGCAACGCACGCAACACATGCAATACGGCCACACACGCAACACGCGCGCATGCGCATGCGCACGCGGACGCGATCGCGCACCCACGCACCCACACCCCAACATCCACTCTCAAAACACTGGCAGCGCCCGCAACACACGTAAGACACGCAACACTCACACACACACACACACACACACACACACACACACACATACACGCACACGCACACGCGCACCCGCACGCGCACGCGCACGCGCACGCGCGCACGCGGGCACCCGCGCACACTCACGCGCACGCGCACGCGCACCCGCACACGCACACGCACACGCACACGCGCACGCACACCCACACGCACACGCACACGCACACCCACACCCACACCCACACACACACAGACACAAACACACACGCACACACAAACACACACAAACACACAAACACACACAAACACGCACACACACACACAGACACAGACACAGACACAGACACAGACACAGACACAGACGCAGACACAGACGCAGACGCAGACGCAGACACACAGACACACAGACACACACAGACCCCACCCGCACACACACACACATACACATATCCCGATGCCCACCATGCTCTTTGCTCAGTTTGATGATTGCTCGAGTACCAGGAATAGCACAAAGCGCGGAGTGCTGATCGCTCTTTTGTGGCAGAAAGGTGTGCTTTGCTTGGGTCCATTTGGGTGAGCATAGACGGTCCTGATGTTAGTTTCCCTGTAAATGCCAACGACTTCCAAAGCAACGCCTACGCTTGTTGCCTGAAGGAGGAGCAAACGTAGCGCACGATGCTTGATGCCTTCATGAAAAAGGGTCATTGTGAAAATGCCGCCTTGTGAATGTTGCCACATCAGATAGACAAGCTTGGGGTTGGGCCTCCAAGCTCCAAGCAGTCCCAAGAAAGTGTTCGTTTGTAGGGGAGAGGCAGACATGGCAGTGGGATTTGTTGGATGTTTTGGCGTCCCGTTACAAGGTCTCTTCCAAAAAAGCCGTGGCCTGAAAGCGCTTTCCCACAAAGCGGGCACCAAGGAGAGGGATTGGAGTTGGAGGCCGGGCGAGAATCGGTGTTTCTCAGCATGGCAATCGGTTTCCCGAAATGCTTCGTTCCCCTTTTTGGTTTCCCTCTCAATGCTAAGCAAAAGAAGTCCACCATTTGAAACTTCGAACGGACTTGGCTGAAAGGGCAGGACTCAGAATGGCCCCCACTAAAACGGTTGCTAGCCCCGAATTGTCGCGAATTTCGAGGTCCCTGCGCTCAAGACAAGCCCTGCCACAGCTATCAACTGTGTCGCGGTCAGAACCCGAGTAGGAGGGTAAGGAAGAATCCCAGCGCCGTTTCGATTCTTGAAGCATGTGCTTGGATTCTAACGCCGAGTGTTGATGAGCCGTTGCTTCGGAGGGCGCCCCATAGCGCATGTCTCGCGGGACTTGTGGTGTCGATGTCTCAGAAACTTGTAGGCTCCGATGTTTTGTCGGGCACCATGGCGCGCTGAAATGTTTGACTCGATCCAGTTTGGCTGTACAGCGCAATGGATTTATGAAGGCGATGTACGGTGATGTCGATTCGGTGCAGCTTGTCTTTTCACCTCCCGGAAACTGAGATCGTTTGCGAGCTGTGGTTTTAAGACAGAGGGCGTGAGGAATATCTAGCCCTCTTAGTCTTCCAAGGACCCGCAAAAGCAGGGTCCTTCTTGATGTTGGTCTTGGTTTCAAAAGGAACTTCGGCCAAGGGCCTGCTTTTCCAGGGTGGCAGATCAAGGTCCAGGTCGCAAATTGGCGCCTGAGGCAGGCAAGCTTCTTCCTCAATGAACACACGGAAACAGGGACTGAGGCACACGGACCGTTGATTTCCCAAAAAGGTTGCCTTTGGGTTTTTAGGTCTACCTGGGTAAGGGGCTTGGATGCGGCGCTTGCAACTTGCAGTCACTTGGTATGTGTCAAAAACGGGGAACCCCCCAAAAATGTGTCTTTTTAGTTGTGGGTCCTTGTAAACCAACCCCAATAAGGCCCTCAAAAAATCGCACCCAAATAGAGCATCCCCCAACAAATCTAGTTGTCCCAGCTGTTTCCCTGCAGAGCCACAGGGCTGACCTCAAAAAAAGAGCCAAAGTGATCGGGGTGACGTACCGTTCAACCAAGTTGTGTTGATGAACATACGACCATAACGCAATCATCAGACATGGGAACAGTTTGCACGCTGTGCCCGTCGCAATATGTTCTGTGTGTGGATGCTGCTTTTGTTCAGAACACGTGCCGTGCTTGACCGCAGTCATGCCACGCCTTTTCCACCCATTTGCCAGGATCTTCGGGTTTTCTATCTCGACGAGCTTTCTGGCTGCAGTCGGCTTCGCTGAATGAAGCGCACAGATGCCTAATGCCAAATTGTTGTCATTTGGCCGCTTTTTCCGGTAGAGACACCACTTAGGTGTCCAAAGGAATCGTTTGATAGAAATGATGCTCTGCTAAGGATGCTTCTGTTTTGCCAATGCCTGAAATGCATGACGATGAGCTGCAACAATGCATGGGTTTTAGCTCATAAAGCGAGAAGGGCGCAGCAATGACGCCGGAACGTGTACGGAAGATGAGAGAGAATTAACTTGACCAGACATCCTGCCTGCATTTCGAACCCAAACAACGTGGGAAGGTTGCAATTGAAGAGTTCCATAGAGCTTGCTGGTTTCACCCAGCTCTGGTTGTGTTTCGTCTCTGCAGTGCTCTTTGGCACACCAAATCTTCACATGAGCTTCTCGGTGTGGTGGGTAGGCTGTAATTTGGCTTTGGCCTGTGGCATGAAGCGTCCACTGGAGGAGCGGCCTATGCGTCGTTCCTGTAAACTGTAAACCGTTCGGCCCGAATCATACCGAGGATTGCCCTAGATTCCGCAGCTCCGGTCTCGAGCCTGCACGTGAGCGGTACCTTGGCTAGGTTCTTCAGGGGCCTTGAGCCTTTCCAAGAAGGCTAGTGAGATGGGCTTGTGGCTTGTCACATCTGGAGAGTTCGCTCCTATGGGAAGCCACACGGCCACAACCTCCGAAGCAGCGGGCTCCCAACCGCAACGGGGTGAAGGACTTTGACTCAACCTGTAAGCTGAGGGCTGCAGATACTTCATGCGGATGGGGTAGATGTCGTCGCTTCATGATAAATCGATCGCCTGTGGGAGGAGTCTCTCAAAAGGCTTCAATGAGGATTAACATGTCATCAGAATTTACTCTTGCCTCCCCCTCTGTGTTAGGATGAGGACCCCACTTGTTCCATGGTACGGGAGATCAAAGGGAGGCCTAGAAGGTTTCCAGTTTGAGAAAGACGCTTGGCTCAGCATGTTGAGCTTGGCTCCGAATTGGCAAGTGCATACCCCCCCCTGCAAACCCCCAATTCCCAAACACGGGAAACCGCCGTGCAAGTGCCACCCCGGAAGTTGTTGTTTTTTTTCTTTTTCTTCTTCTGGGCCTTGAGGGCGCGTTTGATGCTCATTTGTCTCTGGTGCATATTTTTTGTTGTTCCCGCTCAAGGCACCCAGAATCATCCCGCATGCCTCGCACCATTTGTTTTTCCCAGTCGGAGATCCGAGGCGACGTGGGGGCTTTCCTAGGTTTTGCAGTAGTGCCCTTTCTCACCCTTTGTTGTTTGGGAGGGTTCCCCTACTAAACTGTACTACAAAAAAAATCGGGTACCCTTATTCGAGCACCTCTCTACTGGAGGACCTAGTTTCACTTTCGGGAGGTTAGGGTAAACCCTCAAAAGAACCCGTTTTCCCAGGTTGAGAGTTGAGGGTCTGCCCCGCTGAGTCAAGACGAGAGTTGCCCTGAGGGGTCTTTTGTTCGTGAAGGCATACAACCAGCCATTTGGGGAGGAGATTCAAGCATTCGATGGTTGTGTTTGTTGGGTTTCGGTAATATATACTTCCCTTGCTTCCACTAACGGCACCTATGCGAGGGCCCCTGAATAACCTGCCAAAACGTGAGGTGCCGCGGCAAGCGTGGGAGGACGGGTATCCCGCTTTCTTCGGGAGGATGTTCTGATTCATCGTCACTTCCAAGTCATTCTCCAAGGTTTGGAGGTCACCTTGAAATCAGTTTCCATTGGTTTCTCTGAGGCACGGGGTGAAGTCAAAGAACTCAGTTCAGATCAAATTGAGGGTGTCCCCGAAGGTCTGTTGCCCCACATTGTCACACATGCGACAGTTCGAAAAATGGAAGTGGAATACCCCCCAAACCCCCCCCCCCGCCCCACTGAGGTAGGAAATTATCGGTCCTTCAGTACCTGAGGTGATGTGAATGATATTGCATTCATTGAGTATACTTCTGGCACTTCGGGCCGCCCAAAGGCTGTGGCCACTACACAGTGGCGCCGCTTGGCCGAAAAAAGCGATGGAAAGAATGCCTTCCTTGCGATGGAAAGAGGGCCCAAGTTTCGAGCGGCAGACAAAAAGTTTGGAACAGGTCCACCTCGTTTCTTGCAGATGCCTTCGAAAGCATCAGGGTCTCGGGCGAGTTTTCACTGAGACGATGGGTGCAGCCCAGGACACCAAGAGCATATTGTTGCTGTGGGAAGATGAACACGTCGATGGTGAAATGTCGGTATCTTTTTGACATGGGGGTTGATCTATATTCCTAACAATGACCATGAGTAAGTTGTCTCATGTGGTGAAAGTCATCCTATGCAAATGGTCATCCTATGCAAAGTGATCCAACAAATGGTCATCCTATGCAAAGGACCTATCTCAAAGCTTTTGAAAGTCGCTCAGTGCTGAATTCATGCTGAATTCTTGCGAATGTGCGACCAGTTTACTTGAAACGCTATCCATCATGAAACAACACACACACACACACACATGCAATATAGTCAAGTAGCTAAGTACATATGTTAGACACACAACCAGATCGTTGTTGGATTGTGACGCATAATGAGAAGTGGCATGTTGAATTATTTAAGTTTTGCTTTCTGTTTATTTCGCCGAGCCCCCTCCAAAACGGAGATTGCTCCGAGTATCAGCCACAGAGTGTGGTGGACAGTCAAGTGAACCGAAATGCGCCTGATTTTCCTGCATAGAGTTTGTTGTTTGAAACGCGTCTATCATTAGAAGTTCGGTGTCAGGCTACCTTTGCAAAGGTGCGTCAGATACGAGAAGCACACATATGATGCGTCAGTTTTCAGGTATCATGTTTTAGATGGTATGGGAAACCACGTTTAATCAGCAAGTATGAGCAAGCCTGTCTCCCGATGGGGCAGTCAGTGAGTTGCCAAGTTTTTTCCCATCGCTGACTAAGGGTCTTTTTATTTTATTTTGTGGTTTCAATATACCTGTTTACTCTCTTTCCACCACTCATGCAGATGGACAAAGGGCCTTTAACATGATGGTCTTACACCCCCCCTGCCGCGTCTCTTGGAGGGTAGCAGGTATGTTGTGACATTTGAATTGGCTCGGCGTCTTTGCAGTTCAAAGGTATCACATGGTACTCGGGCCTTGCTGCAAGGAGCTGGTCTGCACGGCAATCCATTTGGCTGGGCCTGCAAGAATTAGTTTTATGATTTCTTCATTGTGATTTGGTGAATCATGGACGAATGGACTTTGGCTACTGACGTGGTTTGTTTTTGCAACAATCGCTTGGTCGGCTCTGCTTGGGGGTGTTTTTTTTTTTGCATGCCTACATCCAATCGAACTGTTTGTCCCCGTGCGCAGATTGGAATGTCATTGTTCATATTCCTGACTTGCCGCTGTGCGACCGACTTGGCAGATGTAAGGAACAGGCAAACACTCATCGTGGTGCATTGTAATGACTGAAGACAGGTATCGGCATGAGGAAGGGTCCATGTTTACGGTGATCTGCTTATCGAATCCCTAAGGGTAGGTACAAACTCCCGTGTTCTATTCGAGCTCTATGCAAATACTTCTGAAATTCCTAAGGGGGGAAGGTACAAGGGGGGTAGTTAAGAGCCCCTTTGGGGGTTAGGGTTCCTTGGGGTTCTCTAGGCTTCCTTAGGGAGCCTTAGGGAGCCTTAGGACCCCCCTTTGGGACTCAATCAACTGTAGCCAAGGGAAGTACAGACAAATCACCGGTGCGATTGGGGGAGAATCACAATTGACCCCGGTTCACCTGGGATGACCCCAAAACGACCCCGAGCTTCATGATATCATGGACTGGAAGGCCCTGCATCACGCCACGAGCGCTTGCAACCTCTGCATAACTTAAAACGATCCCAAACTGTGAGCACTGTATGTTGAGATGGGCTGTTTGTAGACGACACCAAACTACGCCAACTGTAAACTTGCAGAGGGCCAATCTCGGCTTCTGTTGCGAGCTAGGCATTTCACACTGGTCCTGCTGGCACCAGTTTCACTTCCCGCCGGGCGAGTCACGCGCCTTGGCATTTTGAATCATTGGGCAATGCTGGTGCCACAGGTCGCGGTGTGTCTTGTGAGAGTTTGCCACCCTTTGCCCACACATTCTGAAGATAGGAAAATGGGAGAAGCTTGGGCATGGAAGACACTGCCTCTTGTAGATAAAAAAGTTGTTTGTCGCGGGGAGGAGTCCGGCGATGTCGGGAAGGGAGGCAAGACTCCTGGAAACCCGTGGAATCACATGGCCACGCTCAGAGGCTTTGGTGTTGAATGACGTTTTGAGCCCTTGCTTTGCAGATTTTGTCCTGCCTTGTCCATTGACCTGGCTTAAAATGAGGAACCTAGGTTGATGGCAATGGAGTTGGTGTGGTTTTTCAACATGTGATATGAACAGCTGACAGCTGACTATGTTAGTTCTGTTCTGCGAGGAGCACTTGAGGCTCCCCAATGGAGCTTAGACTTAAGGTGCGGCAAGCACATCATTGGCAGACAGTGTGATTCTAGTTGGACACGGCATACATGAATTGCTGTGTCCTTTTGGTATCCTTTTGGTCGCAAAACCATCACCCCAAACGGGGTCGCTGATTTTGTAAACACCCACACAGTTCCAATTCTTAGATCCTGCAACCGCAATGGAGTCTAGGGAGGACTTCGCTCCTATCATTAGCAGCTGCCTGCCAGCTTGGTTTTGGTCAGCTTGTTGCGTGGCATGTGGCTGCTGGAAGCTAAGGAGACGCCTACAATCTATTTTGGAGCCGCGCTCAGAGAGGCGTTTGCATCCCTCGGAATCCATGATTGGCGGGAGCGTATCGTTGACCCCGAATCAACCCTATTGGTCAACCAGGGGTTTATTAATCCGGGGTTCCCATTAGCATTGTCGGAAAAAAGGAAAACCCCGCAGCGGGCCAACCAGATTGAAGTCACAGATTCGGAGCACTTGCTTCTCGAACAACGATTCCTGGTTTTGCACAGCTGAAAGCGTTGTTCGTTGAACTAGGGGATCCCTTTTACGATGTGTTGACTTTGTTCCCCATCCAAAAAATGGGGTGCCCCTAGTTTGGCAAATGCCGACAGCTTTCTTTGCCTCTTCTTCATGACACGGTTAGAACTCCGTTCAGAACATAGTTATTGGAATTTCTACTCGCTCACCTCCGCTCCCCTCTCCTGCGCCCTTCCCTCCACACATTCACACGTCCACTTGCATTGTTGGAGAACAGGCTTGCTTGATGTTTGAGCTTGACCCTTGCACTTGAGGCACCCGCACCCTTTGGGCCCCTTTGGGCCAGCCGAAAAATCAAAGCGTGAGGTAGAATGCCCAGTGTGGACGTTCTTTCCTGGCTTCCGTCGAAAACTCAACCAACAAGGAAGCAAATCTGTCTTTTTCAAGGTAGGGGCTCAACTTCGGTTGGCCCTGTGTGTCAGAGTATGAGCAGCCGAATTGTCGACCCCGCAGTGGGCCGGGATATGAGGCTGGCACAAAATAGTCAGTCTTTCGTCCATTTGACAGGGATATGGCTGCCGGGGCTCACGGAATATGCTGCAACAACCAGGGGCTCGAAGTCATTTTTTTCCTTTAGGCTCGCCGCATAATTTTGACCGTGGCTCGTCCTGTGGCCAAAACAAATTCTTTTGCATCAGCTGTGAAGCACGAAGCCCTAGCAAAACCGCAGGCCTCCACAAGGTCCTCTGATTTAATCAAAGGGACCACACTCGGACCCAGAAAGTCGGGCCATCCCCAATAATGGGGTCGCTGACTTCGGGAAGCCAGGTCTTCAGCAAAGAAAAGGTTTGGTTTTTGACTCTCTGGGTCCAAGGCTGGACGTTTGAGATAAGCCACCTGCCAATTGCTTCTAGAGTCCAACTGCTCCTATGTGATAGCGTTTCCACTGGCAACACCAAAGTGATTTATGTTGTTGTTTTAGCAACGCATTCTCACCGCCCTTTACAATAGATAGATGTATGTTTTTGTATTAGACACCCATTCTCATTTCCCCTTTGCAACATATATTTCATATTTGCTGCGATGGATGTTTTGTTCATCCGATCAGTTGCACTAAGGATCTGGTACTGGCACATACCACTTACCACCGGCAGCACCTGCGTGGTGTGGCCCAACTGGCAAAGCCGAGATGTCGCTAAGCTCATGAAATATTTTGAGAAGCACAGGCTGGGGCCAAAACAACAAATGCATTGGTGCATGTTGCTTGGATGTGAGGACTTTCACTGTTTGCCAACTAATGGGGTTCTCATTCAACCACTAAAAGTTAAACTTTTAGCAGGGGGGCAGAAAGCAACCGAGAATGTGTGTGTGTGTGTGTGTGCGGAGTGACAGAATGCCCTGTCACCACTATGAGTAGCAGGGGGCGTGGCGGTCTCCTCGTAGCCACGCCAACGAAGCTATCGAGGATGACTGGATGCATCAAGGGACGCCTTGATGTGTACCTGCACCAGTTTTGCAAATGTCTATTTGGCCCCCTTGGTTGCGGCGCTGTTTGTGCTTCTTGTTCTTTCGGGTAACGTGTTCGCTGCTAGACGGAAACCAAGTGAATGCAAGCCGAACCTACACCCACTCGAGACTCATCAGTTGTACTCGAGACTCATCAGTTGTACTCGAAAGATTAGCACCCTCCATCTGGAGTTCAAGTGTGTACACCCCATTCATGGGGAATCCTCGGGTGTACCCATTGTGTGACCCCGGGCCGGCCTTGTCGGAAAATTTGACCTCAACGTTCTTATCACAGAACAGCGGAATTTCACATTTAACCAGGAACGAGGTTTCACTAAAGGGAAGACAGCTGTCAGATCATAGAGACGTCTCACCATAGCTGCTGATGGCTGCTGACTTGAACTTTCATTGGCTTGCATTTTGTCGGATTCGTTTCTTTTATTATAGCTGTTGATGGCTGCTGACTTGAACTTGCACTGACTTGCCTTTGGTCGGATTCGTGTCTCTCACCTTTGCTGCTGATGGCCGCTGACTTGAACTTGCATTGACTTGCATTTTGTCGGATTTGCTTCTCTCAAGGTTGAAGTGTGACGGTTGTGAGTTGGTTGCGCCACCATGTCTCGACGTGATGATCGTGACAGATCCAGGACTCGGCGCAGACGTGATCGGAGTCCTTCCCCTCAAGCTCGTAAAGCACGCCGACACGAACACAATGACAACCAGGTCTCGGAAGGCATGGATTGGAACAACCTGGTATCCTGGCAACACAACTCCGGCTACAACTCCGCCAACAATTTCCCGGTGATGCCGACCAATTATCAATCGATTCCAATCCCCACGCAGCAGTTCCATCATTCACCGATCAACTACATGATGCCAGTTCCTCCAGAGCCCACGCCAACGAAGTTCATGACGCCCGCGATGCCGCCACCGGTCACTCCCTCGCAAGCTACACCATCACCTGGATACCCTGCAGCCCTAGTTCGACCTCAGAAAGCCTGGCTTACTCCATCGGCTGACTGGACACCTGGAGATGGCATGCTAGATATCAACCAGCTCTACAACTTCAGCCTGCCCACGACGGTCGCCAACACCCCGCACAACAACCTACGTGACATGTCCGGCATGGACATTCGTGACGTTCGCCTGGTTCAGGTCATTCATGGAGGCCTCACCAACTGGCTGCTCCGGCCGTTTGCTCACGGCAGATTCGTGACGTGGGAAGGCTTTCGCACTCGCACCGAGGCCTTACTTTGGAGCACCTGTTCCAAACTACTACGACGATCACAGTCGATCAACCTGCTTACCTTGGAAAAGGACCTTGCTAACTCACTGGGGCTCAACCTCGACGACTTCAATCAGCGGATCAAGGCTCATGACCATTTGGCCAACTTGGTACTTCAGTTTCTTCAGCAACACCACGCAACTCTCACGCCTTCTACCCAGACGGATGACATGGTCAAGAAGTACAATGATCTAAATCGTGCTCATGAGTTGCTCCAGGCTCAGTATTCAGCATCGTTACGCGCTTCGACTTCCCCCACGGTGCCAAACCAGAAGGATGATGCAGAGTTGGTTACACCACCACCGGTCAACCACACACAATCCTCGTCACCTCCCAGCTCCCTCCCTACGGCCAGCGCAGCGGCCCTTGATGGCAAGTCGTTTGATGGCGCGGTGCAACCCCGGATCATTCAGTCTCTTCACGGAGTTTCTTCACCGCCTTCCAAGCCGGCGGCGTCACAATTGCTCACCATGCACAGCACGCCGGATGACGTCATCAAGTACTACACATGGACCAGTGATCAGCCACGCTTGTATCTCAAGCAATCGCCCACAACCACCACTTTGGCGTCATTGATCAAGTGGGCCAATCACCCGTCCCGTCTCAACGGCAACAAGTCCTTGGATTCCATGGCGACGCAACTCCTTCAGGCGCGTCAACGCATGCCAAAAGGAGACGCACCTACGCTTGGGGCGATCGCGGCTCTGTGGGGACTGGAGCCCGGCTACCTCACCAAGCTCACTGACAAGGCGCTGAGTCACCTCATCGTGACCGCCCGCTTACTCAGTGGGTGAGCAGTCCCTCTTGACGAACTTCGTTCACTTATGAGCCCGGAGCGGCAGCTGTGTCACGGTTGAGGAAAGGTTCAAAACTCGTCTGTCATCTTCTTGCTTTGCACTTGTTTGATGATGCGCTTGTCTGTGCTTGCGTTGTCATTTGCTTGATATTCATTGCCGCTTGCATTCATGTCGCCGCCACACTGTAGATTTCATTGGCTGCATGTTCACCATGTTGGCTGAGCTTCGCCGCTGTGGAACTTATGATGATGTTGCACAATGGCATTCTCTGGACACCTTTCTACACTCGTTGACAATGTTCTCTACGTGCTGGCAATACTGCTTTCCTGGACTACCACCACCGTCGATACCAATAGATGAATACGAGTCAGTTGCACAACTACCTTGGTTGGGCCTTGTTCTGGAAGTATTAGTTGTGGTCCGGATTGCACTTCAGATTCCGATTCACGCCATGTCACAATCTCACCACACTGTGGCCAACAGGTATGAACTTCACAGGTGCCGGCGCACGGCCTATTTATTGATCAGTTTCTTGCAGCGTCTCATTTCTCAAGATCTTGGATATGTCCCACCGTTCTTCGAGGTTCTTCACTTCTACAAGACATCTCTGTTGTGCGAAATTATGCATTCCACTTTTGCAGACACAAGACATCTTCGCTCATTACGGGCACGGTTTCCGGACCTCTATGACTTCATTCACGATTCAGGTCATCATCAACAACCATGCGTTTACATCCGACTTTCTCCATGGCACACGCCATACTACGTTGGTGCGACTGATCAGGACGTTCTACGACGAGAACACTCACGCAGTCGCAAATTTCTACAACTACTTCGGGGACGTCATGCCTTCTTCGAACCTGCACTTCACTACTGGAAGCGCTCCAACACTTACTGGCTTTTCTGTGCCATTCCGGTTGAGATCAAACTTCCCATTTCCTCGGTTTGGGTCCAGGAAAGCAAGTGGCAATACCTGCTGCGTCCGCATTTGAATGCACCCTGGGTACATAGACTTCTTCGAAAGGTGGGCTTCCGGGAGCATCTCGTTGACTTTCGACGTCATTCGTTGTCGTCTCCCACCTCGCTCGGTCTACACAAACGTTTTCGACGAAGACTACATCCGGATCTTCAACGGCAGTTACGACCTGAAATGTTGGATGACATTCAAGCGCATTACTCCACTCCCTATCAGCTGGGATCCAACACAGGCGCATCGTTCCAAGCCATCCGAGACCTACTGTCGGCGGCTTTTCCTCCCACTCAGCTCTACTACTTCCTGCGACTCTCCGTCTTTGTCAACGAGCCCTTTCGTTCCAAGGCACAGAAACTCCTCGCCCAGGTGATGCGCAAACGACAGCTCCAATCACCAAGCACTTTGACACAACTACTTCTACCGCCTCTACATGTACGGAATTGGAAAGCTCAACTTGGCACGTGGTTACAACGTTGGGTCGCTTCACATCGTGACTTGTTCCCCTCCCTATTTCTTCCAAAGATCCGGGTGGTGGAAACTCGCAGCGCCACTTTGGGAGACAGGATCTACAACTACCGCACATGGCAACGCAGATGGACTCCTGACGTATCTTTTCCGTGTCGCTGTTCGGACATTGATGATCACCGCCTACACCGTGCGCATGAACATGCAGTAATGGTGGATGAGTTCTCACGCATCAATGCGGACATCGACATGGATATCATGGCCGCGTCCATGAAGGATCAGTATTTCGGCGATGTTGACTTGTTGCATCAGCGTTTTACCACACAGCTTCGCAAACTAGCTCGTCGGTGGCATGTACATGGCTCCAGTCTTCTTACTGATCTACGGCCTGTTTTGACTCAGTTGATGGATACCCATCGATCCAACCTTCAAGATCGTGCTTATTGGTCATCCACATCACTACAACGAACCGTGGCTTCTCTGTTCTCGTGGGTTGTAATTCCCGCGGATCATTTTCCCTCTCGTGCACATGTGATTTGCCCTTCGTTGTTCGCCATACTGATGCACAAGACCTTTTGCTCGGGAGAAGTCTTTTCGCTGTGTCGTGAATCTGCTTCGCTCTGAAGTGGTCACTACGATACCTTCCCTCCTACATCAGCGCTACGCGTGGGGACTTAGACTTCAAGCACCGTTGCCTACAGCTCGCATCCTTCCAAAGCCGACCAAGGATTGGCAGAAAGCAAGACCCATCATTTCTTTCTTTCGCACGTGGGCAGCTCCCTTCCGCACGGTCTTCGGCGCCCTCATCTTTGAACTTACCAAAGTTACCTTTCCCGACATACCAGGACAGCTTTCGGTCCAAGAACTTGTCCAACAGCTGTGGGACGCACTGTCAAAGGCAGATCCCGCCGAATACATCCACCTGGTGTCTCAGGACCTGTCCGGTTTCTTCACGTCCATTCCTACGGAGCGTTTTCCATCAGGCACTACAGGTGCTTCTTCATCGTTATGACCAAGTAGTTGGCCTTCGCCGATCCTCACAATGGTCGGTGTACGAATTGAAGTCAGATCATCGACGCCGTATGTTCAAAGGAAAATGGCGCCGTCAAACGAAGGTCCCTCGAACCTTTCGTGAACAAGACCTTCGTTACCTCCTCGACTTTGTCATTGACAACAGTCACTTCGAGATCAATGGCTACT